TCTTCTGAACGCGGGTCGCCGAAATGTTGAGTCAATATATCTTTAAAATGATCCCATGATGTAATATTTTGATTTTCACTTAATAGCGTTGCCGCTTTACCCACTAAGCGACTAGTTATTGCATGAAATAAGTATAAATTTTGGGCGGCATTACCTTCGACTCTAAATTCTTTTATCACATATTCACTTTTTGCAATAAATAAATTTAGTAAGTTTTCTGTCCCATCATATTTGGGAATCAAGGACAAAACCTCCCTTGGTACAAATTTAAATGTTTCCATTGACATTTTTATTCTTTAATTTTTATATATAAAAATACAATATAATCACTTACACTTCTTTAAATTACTTATATAATTTTGAATTTGCAATAAATCCGTATTAATTAATAATATAATTTCTTATCTATCTCTATATTTAACCTATATTATATTGCCTATTCTTGTGCAATATAATTTTAAAACTACAGTTCCTAATCTAATTACACTCTGAGTACAATTTTATTCGTAGATTTGGTACGAAACAAAATCAGATAATGTAATAATATATAATATGTGGAATAAAATGAAATTTTTAGCGGGAAGTGAAAAGGTTTACTCACCGCCAGCCCAATTCCATTCTTCCTGAGTCACTAATCACACACTGCACCGGATATTATTTTAATGCTCTTCTATTTGACTTATTTATTTGATTCGCGGATTTTCACTCTGCTATTAGACAGTCCACGGTATTTCAAGAACTAAGAAAATCGATTTGAGTATTTTCAATTTAGTTATATACTCGCGGGATGTGAAAATCCTACCGGCTGCGCCAGTCAAAACGCGAGGTCGCGCTGGAGCGTTTTTAAAAAGAATAAAATTTTATTTTTAATTAATATTTAATCAACCGGTTACATTGGTGATTAGCTTAAGACTAACTTAATATCTAATTATCGAGACTGGGAGCTAGACAGTCCGTCAGCATATTCCGTGAGAACACGCGTGGGTGTTTCCGTTTAAAGATTAGGAAATATGTCTTGTGACTGTATAACTACATACCAAATATTTGTTCCAACAAGAGAAAATAAGGTAACTGTAGCGATTGTACTGCCAAAACTTATACAAGGACGTTAGGACATCTCACAAATCAATAACGCCGAGTGAAAAATTTGAGTGTGAAATATTGTAATCTGAGATAAGGAAAGAAAATTTAAATAAACAAATCAGCAGTAGAGTATTTTCACTGAAGATGTCAAAAATCTCGGAAAAAAACGTTAAACTCATGAAATACTTATTTAACCAAAGCTTCTGGCCAGTGGCCATGGGACTGAACAGAATCGCTGCTAATACCGCATCACAAGAGAGGCTGGATAAAGAATTACATAAATTATCGAATAGTAGTTCTTATACCCCACGGTAGTTAGGTCAAGCTACACATAGTTCTCGTACGCTTAAATTCAAATCTGCAGCGACAAGTCAAAGGTCAGGGGATGCGGGAACAAATTGAAAAAGTTAAGCAACTCCTAGAAAAACAACATGATTATGTGTTTTATTGTTTATTGCAAGGCTTTCGACTGCGTAAGGGATAGGTTATAGAAAATCTTTAGAGATACCATGTCTCCTGTTGTTTCAGAACACTTAGAGGAACTGATAGCCAGCCTATACGAGGGAGAGTCAATGGTCAGCGAGAGTCCGCGCCTTTCCGCAAAAAGGTGTTTGGCCATAGTGCCAGGAGCGAACCGGATATTCTCAACAACCTGGTATCGATAGGAAGGAGTGAGGGCAGAAGAAGCCGGTGTCAATCGCCCGTTGGACTAACCAAATTAAGACAATTATAGGTTTCAAAAGCCCTAACGCCTTGAGACAAGCAGAGATTAGAGCAATGTGGAGGCAAGTCTACGTATCGGTTAGGGCTTTTCAAGACAGGCACAACCTTCAGGATTGTTTAGCCGAAGGTGCACGAACACCAACAGCTGACGAGAATAATTTTATATATGTGTGTATAAGTGTATGTAGTATTTAAGATGTTGTTTTATATAATATCATAGAAGTATATTATGTATAAGGTTAACAAAAATTAATATCGTATGTCAACGATTCGTTGCCTATTGTATATTTACATCCTTTAAAATTTAAGTACAAAATGTAATAGTTTTTGCATCAAATAAAGTGATTTTTATTTTTTTAACAATAAATCAGATTAAAATATTGCTCTGACTTATTCATTTCTCGCTGACTCCTTCTAGCCCTTAATCATCATGGTGAGCTTTCCTGATAGCTTTGTGATAATCTCACCACCTCGTACCTTTGATCCTATCCGTAGGGCTCCGTCTGTTACCTTAGGTGCTCTCGGTGCAGACATCGCGTCCTTTTTTTTATATTTACTATTTATGTGTTAGGGTAAATCTGTAGGACGTACGGTTGATAGGTTCTTAATTCTTATCCTCTCATAAATTTAGTTATTTAGTGCAGCTTGTTACTACATACATATCATATATTATACAGTCCTGAGAATCATTACACATTAATTTAACACATTTCATAGTCTACTGGCTGGCAAGCTTTACATATGTGATAATTGGATTTTCTTATTATGAAATAAAACAACATTCCTACGACGATACATTTATGTATTAGAAAATTAAGTACAGTTACATTATCGAGTATACAATGACTTGATAAGTATTAGAAACACCAAAAATTTATCTAGGTCACTATAGCTATTGATAATGCCGAAAAAGGGTAACTATTTAAGAATAATATAAAAACTAGTGCAGTAGTTACAGTATACTAGAACGAAGTTAATGTTAAATCTTAATGAAAATTAGTAACTTATTCTAACCTAAATTAACGTACAAATAATTGCGTACAAGAAAACGAATAGATGCTAGAAACAATGGTAAAATATTTAACATATTCTGAAATCGAATAAAACAAAATTAACAATTTATTCTCCATAGTAGATAATTATTTTCGAAGTACATTCGAAATTTTAAATGTGCATGAAGGATAATAATGCCATAGATTTATATTAAGAAGGGATTGCGTCCACAGAACATTAACTACAATTTATTAGTTTATAAAAGATTTACCTCATTTTTAAAAGAAATAAAGTTAAAGCGTTTAACAAAGATTCATTATTTATAAATTGCGTTAAATTCAATTTTGTATCTACTACTGTTATTATAACTATTACTTACGACAGCTTATTTAAATTATTTCTTTAAATGCAACATCGAAATTTATATCTATGATATATTTTTTTTATATTATTGGGTTATATATTTTATTAATTACTGTATGATTTTTACCACACCAATATGTAGAATAATTAATCATATAACACTATTTTAACTAAAGTCAATTGTGTAAGTAATCTTGAATGGATAGACTCGAGGTGAGAGCAGAAGACAAATACATTAATACAATACGATAGACTGCTTCTCTTTCTAACAAATTATATTAACACTATGATAAAAAGAGATAGTTGCTGAACATCGAAATAAGACTGTTTAAAGAAAGGGTACAAACCTTTTATTAAATATTACGGTTATAAGAACTACTGATACATATATTCAGCCCCCGTGTTTTTATATCCAGGAACCAGTTGCAATTGGTAGGATATAAACAGACCTTATGGTAAGAACGACTTATTAAATAACATCAATATTCTACTACGAGTATTTAAGGGGGAGATTCATAAACGAGGAGTCTTCGAGTCGAAATATGACTCCGGTATGTCAAAAATGTATTCACATTTTTGACGTACGCGTTTATTTATAAACGTGATTATGAATCTAACACTAGGATAGCGTAACTATTTTTTTACGAACCTTTGAAAGAACAGGAAAAGAAAGTTTCTTGCTAGTTCTATTTGTATTTGTTTGCCTTTGATTTGAAGACGAAAATGCAAATGTAAAGATACGATTTATTAGTATTTGATCGAAACGATGGAATCCGAAACAGAAATCGATCGAATATAATATTCTAATGAAGAAAAATAGTGCCGATAAATGCAAAGCAAATATCCTGAAGACTGCTTCAAATTTTACACCTTGATGAATAAGGTCGGTTCACAGGCGGTGGAGCTATACTTGAAAATAAACAAATAGTATTTATGATACTCTCTTTCCCGTAAAATCAAATAAACCTTTAAAACTAAACACTGAAGTGCTGAGATATCAAAAATATACAAAACTTATTGTAACAAGTTGACTATACGTAGCATAAGGGTACAGCTTACATTATAAAGATTGAATAATAAATATAGTAAAAAGGAATTTAAACCTTAACTGATTGACGTATGCCGTATGGTATTTAAAATGGCAGTGACAATTGAGACACAAGCAAATTGATTTCGGAGATTCACAATGTAAAAGTATTTATGTTTATTCGATGAAACTCGTAATAACTCTGACGAAATACAGTTATTAGGTGGAATAAGTCACTTAATCTGAAACTACATGTGCGGCTTTTGCTTTACGAGTTATGAATATTATTTTACTTGCGTTTCCGAAAGAGCCCTTTACAACACTAATTATTATAATATTTATTCAATAACATTAAACACTAAATATTCAAGAACAAACTAGAAGCTATTACGTTATTTTGTCTCGTTTTTACAAGATAAATTTAAGACAAAATATTTAATAGCTTTAGCTTTTGCTGTTTATTTGACTCGGATCATTTACGGTCTCTAATGGTGTCACTTAAGGACCACCAATTACAAAAGCAAATTTTAAAAGTTTCACAAATGAAGTCACAAATTCACAATTTAATTATAACAAAATAATTATCAATTCCATCATCCCGGAGCAATTACGAACTCCAATGATGTCATTTAAGGCCAACCAAAATTTAAAAGCAAATTTTAAATGTTTTACAAATGAAATCACAAAATCAATATTTAATTACAACACAGATTTAAGTTTTTGCTGCAAGGCTTTAAAGTTGAAAGAGGTCGATGTTGTTCGGCTCCTTGGTGATAGATGGGCGGCGGCTGGAAACGCCGCTTTTTTCGGATCAGACATGCGTGAAACTGGCATGTACAGCATCATCCTGGGAGGTCTGGTTTCCAGCCGGGAAGTACTGAAAATTTATATGTTATTAACCACAGTCCCTGAGAAACTTACATTTGTATGGGATACACACGTAACATATACAATGTGTTGCAGACAGTGACTCCAAATGATTTACTAGCAAACGCTATATATGTATAAATACTCCAGCTTATTTCAACAAAGTTCAAGACATATTCGGAAAGTCTATTACAAAATATTATTGGAACTCAGGTTGTGCACGATGAGTGCCATGTCTTTTTTAAATAATTAAAAACAATCGTCTTTTGTTTTATAAAAACAAAACACCTTGAATCTGAATGTGTGCGTTAATCCTGTAACCCAAGTATGTCTGTCAAACAATGTCTAACCTAAGACAAAGAAGGCCGGTTCTACGGCTGTTTGAAAAAAGGTTACCAACGTTTGTCGTAAACATGGAAGAACTAATAAATGTTATATAACATACCCGAAAAATAATTCCATCAGTGCACGAGGTTTCAAAGGTTATACTGTTCTAATAACTCGATACTACGTATAACGAAGGAATAATTTGCATATTTGGACGCTTATTTAAACAAATAAAGATCGACTAACCGTACCGAGAGGCAAATAATAGATATTTATATTCAATGAATTTATAATTAGGACATCTAATTTTATATTAATTTATTACGTATACATAATAATAGTAACAAACTGTTGTTTTAGACTCATTTCGTTTGTCGTCTATATTTGGGGGTTTCACGATATTTTTATATATTATTCGCACATAAAAAGGCACTTGATGCAAAACATATAATAGGTTATACAATTTCTGTAAAATATTACGTATACAATTATTATAATAATTTTATTTCTAATCGCTTAGAGAGTAGGACTTTAAATCAGGGCGACACAATAACACTGGGTCCGACACACACTAGGGAACATACATAACTTACGATGTCGCACTAAAATAATTTCCGATGAGTGTTTCCCGCCAAATCTCTTCCTAGTAGGAAGTCAGTGTACTAAAAGTGCATAATTGTATTAGAATTGTGTAGTATGCCCTAACCGAAAAAATATATAAAATAAAAAAGCCTTTTATTTCCTACTAAAACTTAACAATAATTAATGTTTAATTTTTTTTATTTTTTTATTACTCGTATTATTCATATAATATGTTCAAAACATGAATTAAATCCCTTTATACAGCTACCTGGAGCCAGTGTGGGCCAGTTTTGGAAAGGGCATCCTAAATTCACTTATCTACTAAATAAAGTAATAGTAAGCATGTGATTTTTGTGACGTGTAGTCCATGTTCGTTTGACCAATTTTACCATAACTGAATAAAATCTACGACACTTTTATACGGTGTTTTTTTGCATCTCTTCGTCGTGAGAGAGAGAATGAGAGTTAATAATCAGAGTAACTTAAAGAAATCTTACATTTGCATTGTCTACGAAATAATATATGTCGGAGCAATGGCGCTAATACTTTGTTTATTCGATTTGCCAATATTACTAAATCTAGAAATTAATTACTGTTATTAACGGTTTTGACTAATTTGACACTAGTTATTCACTAGCTCTGTGACATAAAGTTAATGGCAGTCGACAGTAGCACCTTTGCTCCGAAATAATAAATTTATTGGCATATGTAATGGGATTACAAATAATATACGATACTTACACCACCAAATGCAGCGCCATTCCATCCAAGCCTGTCCTGGTCTCGAGACCTTTGAGGTGTCTTCCTCTCAGTACGCGACGGTGTCTTTGTTTTAGCCTTCAGTGCAGTGCTTAAAGACACGTTACTGCGCAACGCCTCGCTTCGTCCATGGTGACAGAACTCCAATAAAGCAACGCCAAGTGCTAAAGCCAGCCCACCGACAAGCACGTAGAATATTCCCGCAACTTGACTTAGTGACATCTCTGATATTTCCGAATCCTGAAAATGTTTTATACCTTGTTAGTGACAAGTACACAAATTGTATTTTTAATTAAATTAGCCAATAAAACATTTATTTGAATATTGGTCAAGTGCTGACACGGCTCACGTGTGTTCCAAGTCTTAACAGCTGAAGATGCTCAATACACCAACAGCTCACTAGAATAATATCATGCATGTGTGAGTATGTGTAATTATTATTTAAGATAATGTTATTTTTATTAATCGTGGTGAGCCTGCCCGGTAGGTTTGAGATAATCTCACCACTTCGATCCTTTGATCCTACCCGTAGGGTGCCGTCTGTTACCTAAGGTCTCTTGGTGCAGACATCCCGTACTTATTTATATATTCACTATTTATGTGTTAGAGTACGTCTGTAGGGTTTAGGGATCCGTAGGGTTGTTAGGTTCTTACTTCTCACCATCTCATATATTTAGTATCTAGTGCAGTTTGCTCATACATTACATATACTATACAGTTACTCCTGACATTCAATACTTATAAATTTTAAACACACATTTCACAGTCCACTGGCTAGCAAGCTGTACAAGTACCTTTGCTTGTAAACACGAAAAGAAACATTTAGATTATTTTTTATTATCATTTTAAATCTCACAATATATTTATATTAAATACAGTCTCCGACGAAATTAAACTCCAAGATTAGTATTACACAGATGAAGACAATATTTATAAGGAAGCGTATCGAATCAATATTTTAAATTATGAATTCTTTGGCAATAACAAAGATTATTCTCAATAACACTTTTATCTCATATCGTCATATGGCCTATTTATAATGCAGGTGTGTAATGATTAATTTGTTATCTCACCATCCGCCCAGGTTATCCTAATTTTATTTGGTTTATTGATTAATTAAATAGTAGGAGGAGATTGAGGATTTATTAAATGCCAGGATTTATTATTTGTGTAACAAATGTAGTATATGAAAGCTTCTCTAAACAACTAAATGTTTGAAAATTTGAGAACTAGACCGAGACCCTGTCAACCTTACAACGTTAAGGCCTGTATTCACTTTGATAAGCGATTAGTGCAGGTGACCAGTGCAGCTGTTAAGTGATTAGTAGAAAACAAGTTTGGACGGCGACTGATTAGTGCAGGTGATTAGTTGGCTGCGTAGTAAAGTGATTAGAAGCGTGCTCTATTTTTTTTTGCGAGTGAACTGCGAGTAGTGACGTCCCCTCACTCGCAGCGTACCTGCCAAACTATATGACAACTGAAATTACTTAACAGAGCCACTAAACAACAATTGGACACTACTTGCACTCGCCCTAATCAAAGTAAATACCTTTATTAGACAAATGTTCAAATGAATAACATTGGTTTACTTCTACCGGTAAATTTGGTACATATTTATTTATCAAGGTACAGCTATGTATTCTACCTTTTTAAAAATTTTTGTGTGACATTTTTTATGAGAATTCACAAATTCTCTTATTTATTTACTTGCCTTATCGTCGTTGTTTTCACATAGGGGTTTGTTAATATACATCAACCATTTATGCCAAAGCTTCATGATGACTCCGTCATTTTTCAATTCGACTATGACGAGGTTCAGTGACTCCCTGAAATTGTAGTTTTCATTCATAATTATCAGTTCTGTATAAGCGCCTACATTAGTAATAGTCAACAGTGGCCTAATTTACCCCCATAAATTACTTGGCGTTTTTATTAAATGTCGATAGAACTACGAAGATTGTGAAAATAACTTTAATAACTTTGGGTAAAACACAGGTCATGCCGGTTTCCTTACGATATTTTCCGTCACTTTATAAGCGAGTGTTGAATGCGCACATAGACAGAAAATACATAATTGCAAAGCCGGGGATCGAACCTACGACCTCAGAGTCGTACGCTGAAATCAACAACACTGCTATATCACATTCCTATTCCTATATTGAATTGTGATAAATAATATTTGACCAGATAGAGAGAGTTATTACATTTTCTTTGTAATATTTGAGAGGAATTGGAGGAGGACCCAAGATGGTATGAACTGTAACGCACGAACCCAATAACCTATCTCAATCCATAATCCACCACCTGAGATAGTCATCTTAATCCAAATGTTGTAACAAGTGTGCCAATAACCAATCAACGGATTGTAATAGCCATCTGTCGATACAAGCTATCCGTATGAAAATGACAGTTGACGAAAGCTCGATTTCAACAGTTAATTATTTTATCAGATTTTAACTTATACCAGTTTCTTAGATAATTAAAAAAAACTGTTAGTTATGTTTTAACCATATACCTACATGTATATTTTAATGTTATTTGTACGGTTTTATTTACTTTATTTGGTTTACATTGATTATCAAATATGAGTGAAAACTCGGTAAAAAGAAACGACAAAGAGCATTTTATCCGTCGCCAAAAATGGATTGTCTTCGCAGGGTTTGGTTATTGGGATGCAGATAGGAGATCAAGCGACTGTCACGGTCTAACTTGAAATTTAAATTAAATTGAAAACAATCTGAGATTGTGGATTGATTATTGGGTTCGGGCGTTAAACAATTATAAATACTGTTAACCTAATTTATATTTCTAATACCCATAAATAGTAAAACCTTAATAAATGAAAAACGCATTATTACTAAAATCTTGACTCAAAAGCCTTTTTTCGCTTATAACAATGTGAAAAACGACCAGATACACTTATATTATCCAAGTGTTCCCTTGTGATTCAAGCCATCGTAAAACCACATCTGTGATATAAAATGTAAATTTTTACGTGTTAAAAATAGCATTTGCAAATCGGGGTCTCATAAAAATTTGAAACTGAGCGTTTTCATCCTGGAATAAACTCATGGACGAGTTTCAGAAACATTTTATTCCTTTAATAAAAATAACCATTAACTATAATAAAGGGTAATAAGGGTTGTATGTATTATTGTATGCTGTATCATAAAAAATAAAAACAAAAAAAACATTCTAAAAATAAAATTATTTGGGTGGGTGACACCACTGATCACTTATAGGTTCAAAAGATAGTAGCTGATTCTCAGACTTACTAATATGCATAAAAATTTTAAAAGAATCTGTTGAGCCGTTTCGGAGGAGTATGGGAACGACATTGTGACACGAGAATTTTATATATTAGATAATATATAGATACTTATCAAAGGATTTGTGTTAGTTATGACATTTTAAAAATATTTAAAAAAGAACATTCGTGGACATTTTGTATGAATTTTTGAGAGTTGTTTTTCGCGGCCCAAGGACAGGTAATAGATCGTGGTTCATATAATTTATAAACACAAGAAAGATCACTCATCACAAAATATTTAAGACCGCTTGACATAAACAGATTAAAATTGGTTTATAGGTTTATACTTAGTAAACATCCGCTAACAAAAGATTTACGACAGGGATTAATTAGGTATGATTATCGTATTTTTTATATTAAATCCCTCATTGTTCCTGAATATTTTTTGAAAGAATACTAAACCGCATTATACTGATCCCCGGCTATGCTCCAATGGACATTCTTTCTATGTGCGCATTTAACATTTGCTCGAATGGTGAAAAACATCGTGAGGAGAGCGACATGTCTTAGACCCAAAAAGTCGGCGGCGTGTGCCAAACACAGGAGGCTGATCACCTACTTGCCTATTAGATAAAAAAATTATCATGATTCAGAAATCTGAGGCCCAGACCTAAAGAGGTTGTAGCACCACTGATTTTTTAGACGAAGTATATATCTATACTTAATATTATAAAGAGGAAAGGTTTGATTTTTTGTTTGTTTGAAATGAATAGGCTCCGAAACTACTGGACCGATTTCAAAAATTCTGTCACCGTTGGCAAGCTACACTATTCCCAAGTGACATAGGCTATGTTTCATTTTCAAAAAAATTAGGGATGCTTACTAAAACTTGAATAATTTAACCCAAGGTGTAAAAAAATAAACAAAAACTTCCATCAATCGCGTGCGCTGCGAAAACTATTAATGATAGAACAAAATGATTTAAAATTTTTCAGTTCACATCACTATCTATAAAAAATATCACAACAGTATGTCTCTATCTTTTATAGTTACGTCACAATAAGCGTCCTTTTATTATTTTTTTTTTTATTTAAATACCACCGCTAGAAAAGGCTCTTTATTCGTACCTAGGTATTGATCCTTATCAAAATAAATACCAACGTTTCACATAAGCTACAATTAAATGGCATAACCACCAAAAAAGCATGGTGGATTGGTGTTCTCCTGCCGTTTCTCTTGAATAGTTTACTACTATGTAATATAACATAAAATTTAGCCACAGCAACGCTTGGCCGAGTCTACTAGTATGAAGATATTTTGATACTCACGTGATACTGGATCCTTTTGCAAGCGCCATACCGAAATCAACGTGTTTGTAGCGGCATATTGGTGGTGTTAGGCAGGATCTTTCGTATCGACTGTCGATAGTGTAAGGGGGATCGTTGACCACTTCCGGATCCTTTACGAAGTCGTTGTTTGGAAGGAATTGACTCTGCAATTTGATAATTATAGCTCCTAAATGTTACCAAGATCGACAGTTTTTGATGACGAAGGGATGAGATGCTTTCCAGATGTTAAGGTTTACAAATTCTAATACTACTACACTTTCCAGAAGCTCGACTTAGCCAATTTAAAAAAAAGTGTGTGCGTACGTACACATGTCAGAAGTGAAACTTCTTTGTAAATTAATTATTGATTATTATCATAATTTAATTTTGCCAGTCTTTCTATATTAGTTAATGATAATAATAAAAAACCAGAACTGAAATTAGTTGTTGTTATGTATATAGAAAGAACACCATAAATATTTACCCACAATTACCAAATAATATAACAAATCCATTATGATCATAATTGCCAACTTATATTCACATTTTCTAAAATAGCCAACTGGGTCTAAGCAAAAAAGGTCTTGGTTCTGTGCTCTTATAAAAATACAAAACAAAAAAAAGAATGGTAATTTAGTAACTTAATAAAATAATTATATGTATTAAAACACCATCGGTGTTCTATTCTCAATCGCTATCTCCCTTTACTTCGACAAAAAACAGCACATCTTCGTGACGTCCCGTAAAAATTTTACCATCACGCGCCTAAAGAAGTTTCACTTCAAAAACAATAAGTATTGATACAAAGTGAAGCCATACAAATAGTAACAAAAGGTAATGTTATGAAAATAGCTTGGAGTAAGATCTCTCTTATAGGTATTAAAATAAAACTAAAACTGTAAATCTATTACGATCATACAAACGGTAATCTTAAACATGGTATCAATGACTTCATAACAGTCGCCATGGCATCGCTTCGCTCATACGAAGGTTTTATTGTTACCTTTTATCTGTAAAAGTGGATCATTCTTACTTCGAAATTTATCTTCGAACTATAGGTGAGGAATTGAGCGGGCTCCGTGATGCGCTCAATGATAAGGTATGCAGCTAAATTGGCCGTGTAGGAACATACTAATATCAGGGCGAAGAACCACCAGACAGTTCCCACAATACGACCGGATAGAGATCTGAAAAAATAATTTTACATTCTAAGTGTGCGTATGTCACATTTTATGAAAAACATTGCAGTTTAGATTTAATGCTTCGTCAAACGACGATAGATGTCACTTTACGCATTATTTACGTATTTACGCATAATTATAGTCAAAATCAGATAGAGATCAGCGTGGACCTACGAACGTACTTCGAACGTCCGTCCTACCCTTCAGCTGTTTGACCACCCCGCGACGACCCAAGCCGAGGTCCGAGTCTCGCAGTAGACGCCCTTACGCTAGTCGCGGGAAACGCGCATTCCGGCCGAGCTACCTAGCCCTTAAGGCCAACAGCGAGATTCCATACAAAAAAAATTAAGGATTATTGATTGTTATAAAGTTTCGGGAGCCATTGCGCAATCGCATTACAATTGGTCTTTAAGAAAATTAAAATTAATTTAAATTAAATAAAAAAAAATATATATATATTTTATTTAAAATTTATTTAAATTAATTAATTAATTTTTAATTGAGAAACAATACATACAGGTGTGTCAAAAAGTCGTTTCTGAATATCACGCAATATCGCACAACTTCAGCAATAAAAATGATAACTGACAGTGAAAAACTGTTGTCAACAAGCCTTGATAAGGCTTGATACACACTATGTTGCCGTTCACGGTCCGATCTCGGTCCGATCAAATCTCGCTGTGTCTACACAACTAGTTTCACAATCAGTCTGTCTCGATCCATGATGGACGATTCTCGAAAAAATCCGATAAATTTTATTCGCCAAAAAATGGCGTTTATCAGTCAACTATTATTTCATAATGTTCGCGAATTTCACCGTGTACACATTTTTCTGTGGATTATTTACTTTTCTACGATTTATTGCTGATTAGAAAAAAAAATTTAACTTCTCCTTGCACGACCGAAGAAAGACTGGAGTTGAAACAAAAACGTATTCACACTGTCGGTACAAGTCATAAGTCATGAATAAAAAAAACGTATTTGTACGAAATATCGATAAAAAATATTGAAGCATATGGAAATATACTGTATATCAATTCAACGCTAAGAATAAGCTATAGGTTTGCCAGCAAAAAAATATGCTAATCATTATAAAATTATGCTAAATCTGCCATAAAATATGCTATACTGGCATCGCTGTACAGAACTGTATCACAATCCAATCCCTAATAAATCAAATTCAAATATGGACGCCACACATTTCAGCGTATATTACCCTTACGTTTAGTATGTCGTCAAACGACAAAAGATGGAGCTGTACGCTTTTAAAACGCGATATCGTTATAATGCCACTTTTATACATATATACTGCCGCATATCGACCGATTGCCTTCCAAACCGAAACAATTATTGTTAATTTTTTGATACCACTTCATGACTCAAATGCAATGCTAGTGGTACAAATTTAGTAAAGATTTATATTAAAAAAACATCAAATTTAGGCATCGATATCTATAACAACCTCGGTATGGTCGTCAATCGTAATACTGTAATTAAATCAATCAATAGAAATTTGAAATATTCAATACTTTTAAGTGCTTTTTGGAATCAGTTTTATTTGTTTAAAATTTAAATTACCGGCGCTATATGAGTAATGTATAACAATGTGGTTGAAAAGTGAAAAACCAATGACAATTGACAAAGTGAATTTACCGCTGGATGCGCTACTCTAGCAAAATATTGGTCACTTTGTGTAGCATACTACTTAGTCAACCTAAGTTTAATCGGTAATACATGATTTAGAAAGGCTTTTGTTGATATTATAGGGAGTTTATTATATAGTGAAAAGTAGGCTGTTGAGGTCTCCGGTAGAGTGTGAAAATCTGGGAGCTTCTGAGTCAGTAGGCACTCAGGTGGTTTTGGTAGCAATTGCCAATCTGGCCGATTAGCGGAGGGTTAACCTAGAGTAAGTTGGATCCCACATACTCTCGTACTCTACGTAATAAGGGGGTTGCGTAAACATTTCCGCCTCGGATATCAAAAGAGATCAGGTCAGTTTACTGTAAAATGTCTAAAAATTTAACGTTTAGAATAATTAGTCTAGCTATTCGAAGGAGTGACAGTATCTTCGAAACCTTGCCTAAAGGGACTCCTTTTAATAATATATTTTAAGGTTAGTTATTGTTTTTAGTTAAGAAAATTTAAATTTAAAATTATATACTTTTAAGTAGGTACATTAGTTGTATGTTGTTCGTATATTTTATATGTGGTTATTAAAACATTCAATTTTGTTCTGTACATTTATATAGAGACTAATACTAACAGTTATTGTTTGTTTAACGTTTTATATAAATTAAATACGATCTTAAAATCCAATTTTAACATTTTCATTGTTTCTATGATGAGTAGTTTTCAATTTATCTCACCATAAAGTTTAATTAATTTAATAAAACGAAAATTAAACAATGTTTCGTACAACATTACTAACTTTAAGAATACCAAGAAAATTAAATATATTAAGAACTGCTTAATTCTGAATACCAAAAGTATTGTAGGCCATGCGGTTTTAGGGTGCAACTGACAACTGTAGTCAAGACTTTAAATCTCGGCTCTCTCGGCCTTTGTCTCGGCTCTCTCGGCCTTTGTCTTTTGGAATTTTTCTATGAGATAAAACCCAAATTCACCTATTCGACCAATTTATCTATATAGAAATAGGTCTCTAAAGTCGGTTTACGGACGATAATTTTACGTGATAGAAGAAAAATTGCATACTTTTATGAATTGAAATTAATTATTATCACTAAATTATCATATTATTATATTATTTTTTTTTCAATATATTAACATATATATATAGTACTCGTTAATTTTTTTTTTAATAATCAAAGAACAAATATAGGAGATAATAGCGCTGCGCTTAAAATGCCAGGATCATTTACGTTTTTTGTTGCAATTGTTGTTGTAACAATAAAATTCACATTACTTTATAAACAGTTGACAAAACAGTTCACGTATAGGTTATCAGCTGCCACTCTCTTTTACTCGGACGCATCGGTCGTTGGAGTGGAAGAGACATACATGCGTCACAAGCCAAATGCTTACGGCGATCGTGCCACTCTATATTCCTTCATTCCACGCTCTCACTTGCACGCTCGGCTCAGGTGGAACGTGACAATTAGTCATGTTTTTTCGTGCATGCAGCCGGCGCGGCGCGGCGTTCCTCGATTTATCAGACGTTATTATAATATATACAAGACCAAGGAAGGTATTTCATGGATGTCGATTGTCCCAAAGCCAAGACCGTGTTTAATAGAATGTTCCTACTTAACATGCCTATGTGTTACACCTGAATCCTATACATTACGGGATAAGCCGACGTTAGGCATTCCTATTGAGTATTGACTATGCAGGCTATTTAATTAGTGTCTTGTCTAATGAATCGTTCGCAATACGCGTACAATAGATATTATGTTTAAGCCTATTCATAAATACAACAGCCTCAATTATTTAAATAATTTTATTCGTTAACCTTATTTTCATAGCATTATTAAAACAAAAAAAACATGTAATGGTCTCATCTCTTGTGATTTCGGTCGGTGTTAAATTGAGTTTCTGACCAGAGTTAATAAGGAGATGGTATCGGAAACCCCTTATAGGAGAAGCCAAAGGACTGGTCTCCTAGAACGGGGAAGGATCAGAGTATCACGAATGTAGAAGTAAAATTAAAAAATCTTAATTTTAATACGACTCTTTAATTAGTAAAGGCCATTCACCTGTCTCATATCTTCGCTACTATTTTTCAATCTTACCCCGCTATCTATTTTATTTCACCTTCCCACGTTTCTGGTGGGCGTCCTGTCTTTTTCTACCCACTGCCCAGTGCCATTCCAAGTAATATAGGAATACCAATTAGATATTCTTAAAACGTATCAAAGTCTAATATAAATGGATTTCCAATATTAGATTCCGTAAACGATTTTGCTGAAACAATGTTCTATTGTAGACTCGATTTAAGTTGAGGCGAGGAATTTAATATAATCGTCTAGCCAATATTGACCGCAATGTATAAAATTCGTGTTCCTTTGAACTGAGTATTTCCAGTTATTTGATAGCGTTTCAGGAAACACTTTCAGGTATAACTATAACATATGTTGTACTACCGAACATTCCTACATCTATTAACGGATACGACACACAAAAAATAATTGAATTAAAATGACGTTTGCGCAACGGCAAGCATCGCAAGCAATAATGCGAATTATATCATGTTAAGTAACACGAAATGTCGTAAAATACTTGCTTAGACCTTTAATACGTCTATTATCCTGCTTCTTAACGGATGGATCGATGTTATCGATTTGGTATGTATTTCTAACTATCCACATCGAGGATCGATGTCTAATGATTCGGATTTACAGCTAGCATTTGACTAAAAATAAGCTTTTATAAATTTTATACCTCGTAGATAAATTATCGGTTAATCCATTTAATTGCCTTGGTAATACAATCAATGAAATAAGAAATATTATTATTTAATACATTTTGTAAATGTAAGAAGTCTTTTCAATTATAATTATATTTTAACGGTGTCCACGATAATAGAGAAAAAAAACAATTGTCTTTGAATTATGGTTGCCACTTATGGTGCGCTTACACGAGGGCAATAATTGCTCGGCAACACGAATGGACCGATCTGGAGCAATTAATGGAGCAATTTCAATAAATTAAATAAATTTCAATAAATTATTTCGGCGATATTGCTTCTAATTGCTCCAGATATTTCATATCGCTCAATGTCGCAGATACGAATTGACGAATTTCCAATGGACTTGGAAATTCCTAGCAATTTTTGTATATATCTCATTCGCACTTGTTTGTTTTGCGGCTTGCCGTCTTGCTTGCGGGGAGAGCGAGAGGTCGGGTGGAAGTAGGATAGCGCGCGGCAAGAGTCCAGCGCGTAGTCAGCCTCTGTTTGTTGTGTTATAAATAAATTAAAAATAATAAATTAAAATAAAATTTAAGTTAAGTTGTAATTTATAAATAATTAAATAATATATTTTATAATTATTTATAAATTACAACTTCATTCTGTTTTGGTTCACACAACGGTGTTCCTTTTTTTTACCGTCTAGTCAAACATAGCCAACAGCTTGATTATTTTATGTCGTATTTTTTAATTGATTCATTTGGAATTTTGCAAAGCCGAGGAAATGTCCGTAATAATTTCAGTGCGCTAATTAACTAGCATTCAGCGTAAACATTGGAAATGAAACTGAACTGTTTCCTCGTAACATTATATTTTTGTTTTTTTTTTTGTTTTGACTGCATTTTGAAATACTACTGCCGTAGAGTACATTACTACTGATTGATTTATTTGAATTAAAAATCTACTTAATTGTGAATTTAAATAAATAAAAGGTTGATTAATACAATTATTTTTAAATTAAATATCCTCACTTTTAAATTAAAATAACTTACCTTTATATATTCTCGAAGAACTTCTGCAATAGCTCTGCATACAGTAGGTACAAATAGTGCAATACAACTATCAGAAATTCTAAACAGATACATTAAAACTTTTGTATGAATCTCCAGTTGCCAGAAATCGAAGGGTTAAAGCAAGTTTTGTTGATGCAGAAATTGGTTCTCTCATGTTGGTCGTCTGTTTCTTAATTAATGGGCTAACTTTATTCAAAAGTAATTCAAAGTCTGTTCGTGACATTCTAGTAAAGTTTTTGAATAATATATCATCTAATTCTTTACATAATGAAAATTTTGTCCTCTTTGCCAAAAACGATCGCACTCAGATACGCCTATTCCTTTTCTTTCGTTTTTGTTTTTGATTAATAATAAAAAAAGCACTACAAGCGGCCGCAGCAAGAACAATGTCGTCCATAGCGAGCGAAAACTGAAATGCTCGTGTATGACAGTATTGCCTAGTTGATGAAGTTGCGCCATATCGCTCAATATTGTATTGCGCAGTATTGATGCTTGTTGCCGTTGCCGTAAATTGCTTGATGAAGTCGTGACGTCATAATTGACGAGTATTGACTGGAATTGAGCAATTTTAGTTGCCCGTGTAAGCGCACCTTTAGACGCGCATTTGATCCGTTGTGCGTTGCCAAGAAGAATCAACTAAAAACACCAATGCTACAAACATTGTATCGAACGTCAATGAAAAAATCATTTTAATAGTGAATATTACAGAGATTAGTTTTGAACTATTTCAGAGTTTTAATTCTTTATGGTAAACTAACACAATTTATTCTTGAGAATATTTGTCATAGGCTTCAAATGTATTAAATATCTACTACTTTTACTATTTCACACCCCTTCTTCATACAATACAAGGCAAATCCAACTATTTAAAACTACTCGGTCGAATACAAACTATTTACGTAACTCAGTTATGTATCGTATACCATATTCAGATTATAACACAAATTACCAGCAAATAGATATATTTAATGTCACTAAAATATTTAAAAAATAATTTAAAAAACTCTGGTATATTTTATTAATAATGGCTTTGTTATTCTTCCTTTATATTAAATATATATTATAATGATCAATGAATCTTAGAATTTAGAATTTATTATAAATACATATATACTTTGTTATATTTTTTGTATACAAGGGTGAAACTGTGCTTTGTTTATGTTTGAAAGTGTATTCCGTTTTTGGCTTTTGTGTATATGCAATGTAATTGTTTGGATATTGTTTAGTGAGTAGCTGTAGGAAAAAAATAAAAAAAAGGGTGCGTGTACTTATGTACGCGCGTAAGAAGTTATACTTCTTTGGCATTATTAAAAATATTTTTTGATTGCACGCAAATAATTAATTACAATTAAATAATCAAAGACTGAAAAAGGAGTCATTATAGTCAATAAAATTCAGTTTACATTTGAAAAATTAAATAAATAAATATTTATTATTATTCTCTTACATTAAGTGTAACATAAATTCTTTATTATTCGAATGTTGTTTTTAAATTATGTCCAATGCCGTAGCATCTTCCGTGGGCAACTTCATTCTGATAATTTTGTGTCACGGTGCGCGCGCATCGTAAAATTTCACTCTCATCAATTTTTCATAACGCGCCTTAAGAAGTATAACTTCAAAAAAATGTTAGCCGTCACGGGACGCCTGGCAGATGTGAAACATCGACATTATTTTGTAAAAGTAATATGCAGAAAAGAACAGATTGTGATAGGACCTAAATATGTCATAATGATAAAATAAAATATTACGATTTTTTTTCCATGTAACGATGACTATTTATTGAATAAACATTTATTTTCATTAAATACAAAAACTTACGTATTTATTTCAAATCGTGACTACTTAATTCGTTTAATCAGTGACTTCGAAATACACACACCGTACACTAGTGTGTATAGACTGTATATATATACCATCATATAGCGTGGCGCCGTTTCACATCAATAAATAAATCTCACAGTTATTATTATTCATCCGTACTAAGGTTGCTAGGTAAATATCACTTGTTACTTTATATGTTTCCCTTATTAAAAGTACTCACCTAGGAACCACATCGCTCCCCTGCTGCATGAACGAACCCAAGGAGAACCAGAAGGAATTCCAGATACTGAACTCGTTGTGCAATATTATCTGAAAATTATTACTTTTTTAAATATCATGTCGAGATACAAAGACTAAACTTAAATTATGTCTGTTGGATGCCGTTGTGATGGAATGCCGTTGACGAATCAAAAGCGAAATTCACGTTAACTATCCGCCTTAACTAAGAGTCTAATCGTAATTAAGATACTATGAAACCGCAAAAAAGTGCTAAGGTGTGCTAATTCGGCAACTGGTTGGCGACTGAGTGAGTGACGGAGCATACAAACACGTGCAAACAACTGGCGACGTCGCCAGTCGGTTACCAAGTGAGTCAGCCGGCATACATCTCAATAAGAACTAGTTGGCGACGTCGCCATGGCGTCCCGGTGTGGTATGGAACTTAGCGTCTTTGGTAGCTTCATGATGTGTAATAAAGTAGGCATAACACTTGTCTGCATACCCAACTAATAATTCATATTTAAAGAAAAAACTTTGCTTTACAGCGTGCGTGGTCACCGTGAAAGCACGCGAAACGTCGGATAAATTTAAAATTATGTTAAATAATTGTAAATTTATAATAATACATAACTTTAATCCGGTTAAAAAGTTTTTTCTTTAAATGTGTAAAGGTTATGTCAATCAAAGACAACTAATAATTAAAAGACAAAACATAAAGCGTTGAAAAACCGCACAATTCCGGAACCAGCTCTATGCCAAAACTTTTGTATGACGAACCCAATTTGGTTATTATTTGACCAAACTATAACCAATATTTTCACATATATCCAAAAATGGCGTTGGCTAACTATGTCCAGTTTATTATAAAAATTGTTTGAAGTTGCAAATAGCATTGTGCACGTCGAAAATAAATCATTTGATAAACCTGTTCGAACTCTACGCTTAATGAGCAAGCTAACATATTCAACTAGATAAATACCTCATTAGTACTGCTAACAGGATGATCCAACTGTGTGTCTGATATGGAAACAGATTTCCATTCATGTGGTGAAAACCTCGATACTAGAAACAGAACGATGCTCACTGCGAAGAAGCTGAATAGGACGCAGAGCTGAAAATAAAGGTATGTTTGATCTACATAATACAGAAGAATTTTAGTTTGAGATAGTCAAATAAAACAGACCCAAATGTTAATCTTGGCCTTGTTTGTATCATTAATAATTTTTCAGAAGTGGCCGTCTGTGTTAGATACCATTATAGTATAAGATCCCGCTATACAACGACCTTCACCGAGATGTTTATTTAATGAAACTTATTTTATATTTAATTTAATATGTCAATAAATATAATCCATATGGGTTGCCTAGCAAATTTCAGTCCAGAGTATGTTTAATTAATATTTAAAAAAAAAATTTTTGAAGTTATACTTCTTTAGGCGCGTTATGAAAAATTGATGAGAGTGAAATTTTACGATGCGCGCGCACCTATGACACAAAATTGGGAGTGTGATTATAGCGTGCGCACTGCGCAATCTACAAGTAAAAAGAAATAGAATATGCGTGAAGCTAACTTCACGCATATTCTATTTCTTAGCTTAGCAGCTTAACAAGAATTTTGAATGACCATGACATCTGACAATGACATTTGAAACAAATATAGGAGTATTAATTAGTTTTAAAGATTATATACCTAGTTATTTTTATTATACAAGTGCGAATTTTATATTTGCGTCTGAATTATAATCAGAAGTGATTTAAATTGAATATCTAAATCAATACTAATTCATATGATAAAATATTTGTGAAAAAACTGTGCCGAACTTCCTGAGTGCTTCAATACAATTGAGGTTAACTATCCGTATGTATTATCGAGTATTATTGTTGATTAAAACTGAAACATGAACCATTATTCATTGCTTTTGTTTATTGCGTTTGTTACAGCAACTTTTTAGAAATATTCTACGACCCTATATATCAATAATTGAGAACAAAGATTTAAGCACGAATACTAATAAGGAGAAAATGAAGGCTTGGAGCGATATTACAGAGAAGTAAACATTTTAATAAGTACCTGTATCTCAAAAAAATGATTACATTATTTAATCAAAACATGTAATTTTTCAGATTTAATCTAGCAAATATAAGGACAAGAGACAAAAAACAATTGATGAATCAGTGGAAGTGCACTAAATTGAATAAAAAAAAAGAGTTGTCATCTTATCGCCGTGAAACATCAAAAACTAGAGGTGGAACAAAGCCACCATCACCTTCTCCAGACACAATGGATATGGCAGAGATTATACCGCAACGGTTTGAAGTAGATTTCAATGAATTTGATTGTGATGGTGTCGAGGTAGGAATGTTAATTATAAATATGATGGTGATGTTCAAGGTTCAACCTCTCAAGCATAGGCACATACTTTATTCCCCTACAGGGTAGTTAGAGATATTGTAATACCTCAAAACATCCATGTTGCTCTTGTAGTACCGAAACTCTGTCCAGCCAGATGTGAGCCCATTCCCACTTATAATGGACAGTGGGTATAATACACCTTAATACCTGAGTGCGAACCACTCACCATGATACTTAAATTAATAGATGTTATTTATATATTTCAGGATATTACAAATAAAATCATTTTGGAAACAATTGCTATCCCAAAAGCAAATAAAGCCAACAATGACAAGGTAATAAATCAGTTTTGACATAACTTGAATACTAAAAATGCCAAACAAAGGTGTGCACAACAGTGACAACATAACTTAAGAATTTCATTATTTTGTAGGATTAAAAAAAGGTTAAAGAAAATCATGTCGAACTGAACAACAAGAATCCCCAAACAACTCAAAAGAAACCTACAAGGAAGACACCGGTATTATATTTAAATTATCTCTATCTCTAAATAGAATAAAAGAAAGTTGCTATCCAGGTCTGTAGCATGTGCTACAAATTATATTATTAACACATTTATATAATTATATTAATATAAATGTGTTAAAAAATTTTATAATATGAATTATAAAAAATTTTAAGTTTTGCATGGACAGAGCTTAAATTAATATTCTCTTATTTGTTGCAGAAGCAAGTAGTAGTTTTAGTTTTGGAGAAGCCTCGTAGATGCACAACCAAGTAATGATTAATTTAAAATTACAAACCGAAATTCTGATGAAGACATTAGAGTCACTTAAAAATAAATAGTATAATGAAATAAAAATGTTTTAAAGATAAATAGTGTTTTATTTGTTTAATGTAAGAGAATAATAATAAATATTTATTTAATTAATTTTTCAAATGTAAACTGAACTTTATTGACTTTAATGACTCCTTTTCCAGTCTTTGATTATTTAATTGTAATTAATAATTTGCATGCAATCAAAAACTATTTTTAATAATGCCAAAGAAGTATAACTTCTTACGCGCGTACATAAGTACACGCACCCTTTTTTTTTTTTTTATAATTTGCATGTAGTAAATTTTTTTGAACTTTTTTCAATCAATATTTTTAAACAGGGTAGTATTATATATGTATCACTATAACCTTCTTTTATACTAAAGATGTATATATACATTAGTGTCACATAAAAAATATACACATAAATAATTAATTGATTAAAAACAACCTAACGTTTGCATATTCTATGGGCTTCATACGTTCGATTGGTATAGAATTTATCTAATAATCATACCGGTGAAATGTTTAAAAAAATATTTTTTTTTTAAATGAATTAAACATACTCTGGACTGAAATTTGCTAGGCAACCTATATGGATTATATTTATTGACATATTAAATTATATATAAAATAAGTTTCATTAAATAAGCATCTCGGTGAAGGTCGTTGTATAGCGGGATCTTAGACCATTAGGTCCTACATATTGGTTTCCTTCCCCATACTAAGTATTAATTTACTTAGTCTCAGCTCTCTCGGACAAGCAAAAATAATCAGTTGCATTTAAAGTCGGTTTACTGACGATAGTTGAACGTGACAACGTCATAAGAAAATACTGATGGAATGGTTGCATTTTTCAAAATAAAATTTTAATTTTATTTGTTTGATAGATATTTTTTATGGTAGAGAAGGAGGTAAATGGAAATCACAATTGAATTGATCGATTACGATATAATACGATATATACTTTCGAATTATAAGACTGTGACGTCAAAAGCGGCCGCAGTGCAGGCGGAAAATAAAAAACGGCTCAAATATCTTCCAATTTAATGTCTTTCTTCCAATTTCGATTTTGCAGTAGAGAAGTTTGGGCCGTGAGGTTCAAATGCATAGGCGCTAATTAAAGATTTAAGTTGGCGCCTGGTACATAGCATCGGTAACCCCAGAGCTGGTGCTTTCTTCACTCAACGAATAAGTATCGCAATACAGTTAGGAAAAGCTGCCACAGGGACCAAACTCTTTAAATTTGTTTTTATTATTTTTATTATTACTATGTACGTTAAGAAAATTGTATACTGTATATTTGATTGTTATGATTACTAATAAACAATTTGTTATATAAAAATATATACTTATATAGAAATCTATTGGTACGTAGTTGGTGTTAATGAGTGTAAACTCGCCCTTTTTTAGAGACCTACGGCAATGTCACTTACGGCTCCTAGGCTAAGATAGCTTTTATCGAAATCACATATCAATTATTAATACGGGACGTTGTTACTTAACATTGTATTTGATCTTTAATCCTACACTTACCCATATTTCCTTAGATAAAGGCCGTAAAAAGCTAAAGGTATCGCTGACTTGTTTGGACGTCTTTGTCTGTATAATCGGATTTTCAACAGATAAAAATGGTTCAGTGAAATCTACTACTCTCTCTCTTTCAGGTGTTATTGCTAATGGAGCCAGAGTTAAATCAGCTTCCTGTGGAATAAAATATAAAATGGTTTAAATGATATAACATTACTAAGTAAATACCAATACTACTATACTAATAACTCGTAATACTGGTAGAAAGTACCGGTGACCCCAGAGCTGGTGCTTTCTGCGCTCAACGAATGAGTATCGCAATACAGCGAGGAAATGCTGCCAGCGTTAAAGGTACACTGCCACAGGGACCAAACATTTTTAATTTGTTTAAATTTTCTTTTCAATAATTTTTATTATTAGTTTGTAGGTTAAGAAAATTGTAAATACAATAAATAAAATAACAATATTGTTTGCGCCAAATCGGTGTCAGTCAAGGAATGATGACAATTGTCAATTCTGACTTTGACACACGAACCGGAGATGGTAGGTGGCATTCCAGCATGATGGCGCAGGGATAATAGTTAAATTTTGACCGCCGTCGCGTGCGCATTAATATAGACCCGTACCGCATTTACTTTTATTCATAATTTTAAGGATCCAGTGCTTGGAGTGGGACACACCACTGTTGATGGTAAGTGCTAGTCTTAGTCTGATCGATTATTGGATTCCTTTATTAACTGAGCGTTTTTCAAGGCAGTTTTTGCCGCGCACCACCACTATGTGGAATCAGCTGCCCACTGAAGTATTTCCGAACCAATTCGACTTAGGGTCCTTCAAGAAAAGAGCGTACCAATTCTTAAAATGCCGGCAACGCACTCGCGAGCCCTCTGGCATTGAGAGTGTCCATGGGCGGCAGTATCATTTAACATCAGGTGAGCCTCCTGCCCGTTTGCCCCCCGTTCTATAAAAAAAAAAAAAAAATATTAAACAGACACGCGACAGCCGAGGAAAGGGAGCATCCTGGATTTAGCTTCCGGATACCTAGACCCACACAAATATAAAAAACAAAAAAAAAGTAATTACTTAATTAACCTTACCTAAGTTTACTCTATAATACGTTTGCGAATAGAATCGTTAACCCGTTACTAATAAAAATCAGTCTAATCATTTAACTTCGTCTTTTTCCCTCAAAATGTGGTTACGCTGATTTTACGCAATTGGACTTTTTTATTAATATGAGGGTAAAGATTGTTTATATTTTTATTACTTACATTTATTTGTTTGGAATACGTTGTGTATTAATTATCACATAAACTATGGTATTAACATTAATTTAAAACTTCTCAGTCGATTTTTCACTATCAATAGTTAAAACTTTGTTTTAAGATGTTAAAGAATTCTTATTTAAGGACCTATCCGGTCGCCAAACTCCAAAAAAGTTACATTGCTTCTTTCCATTTTTCGTCGTCGTTTCTTGAAGTAGGGCGAATGGAAAAAATATATGGTGGAGTTGATTAGTTTACGTATCCATTTTGAAAGATCAATACATGATTTAAATATCTTCGATTTAAATTTTTGACACTTTGAATTCATTTTACATGATTTTGAAATTTTCACGATATATTTAATCGCATGCCAAGTAATCGATTTCAGAAAAAAAAATGATAAAACTTCATTAATTTAATGTTTTACATAACTAATTGTTAATACGGGCCGTCGCGCCTCAGAGCTCCAGCTCTCCATTGCGCAACGCAGTCCACCCCGAGACGCTGACTCAGCGATTCGCGCTGGGATAGGGCCTTAAAGGTTGAGTATCTACTATGGAAACGATACACAGGGCGGCAAGAAACCCAAAAACTAGATTAGTAGATTGGGGAATCCTTACCTTTTTTAGAACTTCTCCAACAAGCCCAGTCCAACCATTAGGCGTCTCACTCCCGAATTGGCCATCGGCGACTATTTTTAATTGATCTAAAAGCCCGCACAGTTTTATCTCATGGTGTTAAGTGTTATATGTATATTCATCACTAAATATGCTGGCTTCTATAGATCTATAGCTTACCATGCCTAAAAAGAATTATCGCTATCAGTAGCGGTAATTCTTTCTGAGACTACAATGATTCAAACAGTTCCAATATTGAAATATACTGTTTTATTTATCAAAAAGATTTGTAATTCTATTTTTGATCGCTCAATTGTCTTATTTAAATATTATTAAAAATAAGAAATTCATTGAAACATCATAAATTCTGCATAATTATTTTCTTTCAACAAGATAAAGAAACCTATTTGTATAATTTCTTTGACGATGTTCAAAATGTACGATTTTGTACAACTAAATAATGAATAATGTAACATTCTAATGGTGAAATCTTCATTAAATTAGTATTGATTTGCACCAAAATACAAATTCTATACAGTTTTATATTCATTTATCCATATTATGATATTCCAAAACGGACAGCTTCATCTATTTCAATAGATTAAGCTTGCTTTCTTTTTTAAATCGTCCATTGTGTTACAATTAACGGCTTACCATTACAAAAACATGCTAGAAATACGTACATTTTATTCCCAGTCTATTCGAGATAAAATCAGCGAGATCCTTACAAAATCCATGGAATGGTTCCCCTCTTTGTCCGTATTCTTTTGGGGCTACCATTAAATAGGGCTCTTGTAGGATTGTCGTAATGATGTAGGTTTTATTTATGTCGAACGAAGTTGGCGTGTATAGGTCAGTGAGTTTCGGTGACAACATTGTTAGACCGCCTTTGTCTGACCAAGTTGCAACCTTATGAAAAAATGCAGTCAATTTTAAAAGTAGGAACAAAATTTTACCCATAACAAGACTGGACTGTTATAATTTTAAGTGTTATTAAAGTGTTTTAATGTTTATTAATCAAAATAATATTATAAAATCAACATTTCCAAAGAGATAAAGAAATTATTGCTGTTTTATTTACCGTTAGACCGTCGTTAGTCTTAAAAGGACTTACAACCTGTACTGTGAAAATTATTTTGGTTTAATAAGAAATAAATTAAGTCAAAACTTAAAGTGTTACCATGTAACTGATGTGCAAAGTTTTACGCACCTTAAGATTTTGTGAGCGCCATTATGTTGGAAACTTTCTTAAAGATTTGACTTTCTCACCCTATATAAATTATTTTGATCTTATTTTTTCTTTAATGAAATCATAATCATCATTTTTTTTGCAGTAACTTACCGCGTAACATATTAAATTTTCAATTACGATTAAAATTATGGAATTTTTATGAATATACACTTTTGACAATCACAAATACGTAAGGTTTTATCTCTTACTAACGAAGTACATAAATAATTAGTTCCTGCTACGAATGAAAGCCATTTTCTTATTACAAAATACGGTTAAAAATAACAATAGAACTCACTTTAACCATTGCGCTCTGAACTGTCATTTCAACAACTTGGAGAGTGAAATTAGAGCGGTGTCCCTCTTCATTGAATGATATATTTCCGGTTAGACCCTCGATATCCGTCTAAAAGTTAAAAAGTTTTAATAAATCTCGGTCATTTCGACCCGGACCCATAAAGTTATGGTGGTCAGTGCAGCTGTTCCTACTAATGTCACCAAGTTCGTAAGAACTTCAATCCCTTTTTTACTGTGTAAAGAGCCGATATTTTCTGAAGTATTACGATAGGACATAAATAATACCGTGTTATTACCCCGCCCTTTTATATACCCCGACCTGCAAAGGCAAATATATTTCCGAGAGATTTCCGAAAACATTTTATAACAATGAATTTTGTTGCATCTTTACTGTTAAATCGGGATAGAGAGATATAAATCTCGTAGATATAGATGTTACGACTTTTCTTTTTGTTTTTACAGAGAAAAAAAGGAAGGGGCCGCTTAATCACTAATATCTCTTCTCAGAATACTGAGGTGTTATATATTTAAGTGTCCTAATTCTAGACAGAAAATATCAATGCGATCTTTTTTAATATTTGCAGAGCGACTAATACGAGATGATTTTGATCTTTGAACCGAAATATGATGATAGGTTGAAATAAACAGTTAATTATAATACAACATTGTACCAACAGTTTTCAGTTATTACAAGGCTAGTTAGGAATCCATTTTCTCGTGTGAGTTACGTACATAGCCTAATCGTACACGATTGATTGTTATAAGATACGGTTCTCCAAACGTTTTGTGTTATATCAATAAACCTGATATTCCTGTACATACATATTGTCTTTGGTAGTGATTGTGTTGCGGTGAATGCTGTTAGTAATCAGATCAGAGTGAAAAGGTACCCTTAGCAAGAGCAATACGAAAATCATATAGATAACGTAAGGGAATAGAAACAATTGGATTTGGTTTAGTATAGAAAATTTAAATAGCGTGAATGAGCTGTTAGAATATAATTTGTATTATTTACAAATTGTATAGAAATTCGATATGTTCGATATACTGACGTATCTTAAGCTAAGTTATAAGTATAGAATGAGAGGAAATTGTTTCCGTATTATCAGTGATGTACCAAGGTTTTGTAGCTATCAATTATTCAAGAACTCCTTTAAGGAAGATTCTATTAGATACTGATTAAATTTAGCTAATTGTGAATCCTACCTTTTTAATGAGTCGTGAAATTTTGTCTCCGTGCTCGAAAGGAACAACCCATCCTTTGCCAGGATTGCAATCAATTACTTTGGTGGAGTTGGCTAATGATGCTGCTCTTCTCAAGGCGGCTCTAAATGAATCAGGTTTCTTTCTATACAGACGTCCGAGCGCGTCCATTAAAACTTGAACGCCGTCGTACATCAGCGCTGTTTGAGCCTGTAAAATGTTGAGTGTAAGATTTCTTACAACAGCGAATATATTGGTACTTTAAGATTTAGCTATCGACACACTACAATTACCTATCACTTAGTAATATGTCTGGCTTAGAGCACCAGGATGTTTTGTATGAAATTTCCCTGTAAGTAAGAAGGGCCTTTACTAAACTGTTTAACGGGAATACCTTCGTTAACTTCCAATTATCCACTTTGAATAAGGTTGCTGTAGAAGTTTTCTGGGTTCAAGTAACCGAAGGATTAAATTTACAATTCAATACGTTTAATTAATTTTAGAAGATCTTTCATATGAGTATAATTTTATACTTTTTGTAACGATTTTTTATAAAACAAACAAATGTATAATACAATTGTACTATTAATTTTTAACTAAAATTGCCTATGGAATATCGAAGTAGCCTTTATAGGCTTATTGTCCGTGAAAACAAAGGCAGTAATTAATTTTCATTTGTCGAACTTCATAATCTCGTCATATTAAAATAACAAACGGATATTAAGGTATTGTATGGACCACAAACTGATATGGTTTTTAATTATAGAATTGTTAATTAAATAAAAAAATAAAAAGAATATTAATTTTTAAATATTTTAGATGGATGGATAAAACACATGGATTAGTTTTGTTTATATCGTACTAACTTTATAAAAACATTTATTTGGGCTTACGGTGAAGGCATACAATTTAAGTTTATTTTTCCAACTAACTACAATAACAATAAGAAATAATTAATTACGAAAATATTACAATATTAATTAGGAAAACTAAAATTTTAATCATCTATTTATTGTTAACGATACCCCGTGTAACCTAATTGAATAATTTCTCATTAACGATATAAAAAAAAATGTGAGCCGTCACGGGACGCCTGGCAGATGTGAAACATTGATAAAAGTAATATGCAGAAAATAACAGAATGTGATAGGAACTAAATATGTCATAATGATAAAATAAAATATTACGATTTTTTTCCAGATAACGATGACTATTTATTGAATAAACATTTATTTTCATTAAATACAAAAATTTACGAATTTATTTCGAATCTTGACTACTTAATTCGTTTAATCAGTGACTTCGAAATACACACTACTGCATATAGACTGTATATATATACATATATACCATTATATAGCGTGGCGACGCCAGAAATCGGCTTTACGTGCGGCTATAGATGTTTGACATCAAAAATCACCAAGTATTATTTGTCTGACCAGGACATCAATTTCTTTAAGTAAAATAAAATTGTAAAATTGTATATGATAATGTATTAATTTACGAAGCTCATGTGAAGCTATTTACGTGCAAAAATTTAATAATGGCTCGCCCTCTAGAATAAGGGTTTTGCTACTTATTAGTATTTTTTAGTAAACAGAATATTTAAAATCACTAGCGTACAAAAAAGAAAGGAACAAATAAAATCGTACATATACTTCACAATTATTCGCACTCCTTTACTGCTTTATTTAAGTATAAGTTAAATCTATTAATGTCCTAAGCCTTGTATCTTCCTTGTTTATTATAGCTACTAGTTTGTTTGTCGTTCTCCTAATTTATAAATTTTGTGCTGTCATGTTTTGCATTGTATTATATTTTTTATCAGTGAAACTTTTTGTGGATATGTCCAATGTATTTATTTTATGTTTTACTTTTTTTTTACTGTATAGAGATGAATCTGTTTAGTTTCCTTAATAAATAAATAAATTCCCTTGCGAAACAGAGATTTGGACACACGTGTTTTCATATTCGCTGATATTATAACTAGTGTATAGTAAAATAAAATCTGTTTATTATGGAACATAAGATACATGTATCATTAAACGCCATTAAATTTGAATTTGTAGGCATTCCTACTCATCGGCAAAGAAGAAAGAGGGTGTAGGCCGAGAGAAAAAGCCAGCGTAAAAAACTCTCGGTACACAAATCATCAAACAACACTTATTATATGCTAGTTAGTTATCACACTTAGACACACCGCGCTCGAACAGAAACGCTCAATGTATATTATATAAGCACAACAGTTTCTAAACATACTTGCAAACCCTTAATTTATTTGCGTATCTAGTACGTAAATCATTTTAGAATGCTTTATATACTTGAGAATTCATATTTAAAACCTTTGATTTTATTTATTTGGGATCATCGTAAAACTTTATCGATATTCTGGTAAAGAGTTATTAGCATGGCAATGGGATAAGGATGGTAATATTTAACCTACTTCAAAAAGTAGGAGGCTATCAATTCGTAATATGTAATTTTTACGTGTCGCAAGTACGTTGTATATTACTAAAGATATTTTGACCATATCACTACCTATTCTTAAAAAAAATAGGATATTATAACTATATCACACTCCAATGAACAATAGTGAAGTCCCTGATTTATACGTTATTTAATTCACATATAGAAGGGTTGTTAACCCCAGGCGCATAACAAGTACGTATTTAAGCTTTCATAGCTTACACTAGCCAGCACATACATATTAGTAAGTTTTTTACTGAGAAAAAAGTGCGGAAAAAATGCAAATAATTTTAAAAGAATTTATGAGAATTACTTAAACATTGTCAGTTTAGACTCTAGAGTATGTGATATTAAACCCTGAATATACAATTTTATTAATATACAAGCGTTAATCTAGTTATTATACAAGAAAACGGACATAGCCTTTCACCGGCCTTTAAAGAAAATTGAGCAATGAAACGCAGAGATGTGTCTGGCATTTTCCCTTTTCTATATAAATTAATAAATAAACATACCGATATAGTCCCCTTGAAGCGTGGATCCATCCTCTTCAAACCCTCCATGAACTCCTTCACAACCCGCCGGCCGTGATCCACGATGCGGAATCCGGTTATATTCACAGCCCCATATTCCGTAACCTCATTCTCCCATTGATCGTCCATAACCTGTTAATGGGAATGCCTTAAATTTTCTCTATGATATTAATATATAGTATGCCGCCCCGACCTCGTTTATATGTAAAAGACGAACCGACAAAAGTGCACCGCAGTGTCTCCGCAGTGTCTCTAAGTAGAAGCGTAAGTTCACGAGCTTGATGATATTATTATGTTTACTACGTGTATTGAGTAGGTTCGTCGCGAATGTATTTAAAACTTAAGTAAAAAGTATTGTTTGAATACGACTAGGTTATCATTAAAGGTAAATTTAAATTATTTAAAGGTTCATTTATTGTATATCACAACATATTTCTTTGTTATCGATTGTTGATTTATTATATTACGTTCTATATTTATTAAGTGGGGCACTCTGCCTATTGCCCCCGTTAGTAATTGCTCACTGGGTAATACCCCACAACCTCTAGTAACTGAAAGTGTCGGTCTAACCGTTCGGACATTCGAGCTTACTTGACTTACATTGTATTCTTTATAATAAATAGAAAACCATTTAAAAACGCATAAGGACTACCTGTTCCTCGTTAGGATGTTTTCTCGTTTTCCATATTGAGGGAGGAAGGGTTTTAAATTTCGTCTTAAAGATATAACGGGTGGCGCAAAAGTAATGGCACTAAAGAAAATTTGTTTATTTTTTTTATATGAAGATGTTGAAGTTGAAGTTGAAGTGAAGTTTTCATTCTGTTGTTCATAATTGTGTAGTGAACAAATGTAATACACTGAAAATAAACATGGACCGTTTTACTCCCCAAGAACGTGGAATAATCGTGTCAATGTTCTTACGGAATAATTTATCAGTGATAAAAACACAACGTGAATTTCGTTGACAATTTCCTGCAAGATCCCCCGATCTGACGAGTCCAGACTTCTTTCTTTGGGGTTTTTTGAAATTTCGGGTGTATGTGAACAAGCCACAGACTCTCGCAGCTCTAAAAGAAAACATTAATTAAGAAATAATGAACATATCGCAGGAAGTGTTACGGTAAGTTATGCAAAATGTCATAAATAGGGCTCAAATGTGCATCCACTCTGGAGGTCACCATTTAAAAGACATCATTTTAAAATCCTTATGGTACGAATTTTAATGGCACAAATATACATTTAAAAAAACCTAAATCTAGTTTTCTAATTTAGAATAAAATGTTATAGCTGAACCAAATAGGGTCTTTACTTTTGCGCCACCCAGTACTTTATTAAACGCAAGAGACAAGTCCTCATCTCTTTTTATTAACACCCACATATGAAATAACATTCAAGGAATACTGTACATTAATCAGTACATTAATATATACTCGTATATTTAAAGTATTTGTATATCATGATAAATGTAGAGCATGTTATTTAAAAATAAATCTCTTGAATTTTTAATACAATTATTTTAGTTTCAATACATATAAATTTTATTTATGGTCGAATATAGTTTGAAATTTGCATTATAAATTTTAAAAATTTAAAAACTAAGTAATTAACAGCTAGGACGTGACTGGACTTAAATTTAAGCGCATTCGACGCTCATTTATCTTATTGTCTCGACGAAGTTTAATTTAGTTTATACTTTGTAATTAGAAATACACTGATGAATAATAAGCATTTTCAAAGCAATTTACTCTCAAGACGCGGAAGAGGCAAACAAAGTTTTCACCACTAAGTCACTATAGTTTAGGAAACCTTCTGACATTCACAATTACGGCTTTTTGCAACCAACCTTACCACGTAACTTCCAGTTCAATTATTGACTTAATAATTAGTTATTAGCTAACAAAACCCGCTAGCTAGGAAGTGCCATGTTAATTAACTGACAAAACCCGGGCTGAATATTTCGATACCCGTAGCTTGGGTCAATATCTAAGCTAAATTCAATAACTTATGTGAAAAATATCTTAATTCCTAGGATTATCAAAAGGATTTATAAAGTTTTAGTACCAAATATTGTGACTATATTTAAACCATTTCCGATAATCGGCGCGTAGAAGCAACTAGTAATACAGGCAATGATTAGTGCTACTTGAAAGTCGTGAAATTAATACTAAGAAACTGGTTACTGAAAATTTGTCCACTTGATACTAGAAGGTAGTTTTTTTGTGGGGAAATGAAGGAGCGAGGGTTTTGTGGGACTCGCAATCTACTAACTTTACTTGAAGACCGTGGGAGGCCCATATTAACTTACCAAACCAGTGAGCAAGTAATGATACGTTCGACGTCCCAGTTCCACCTTTCTCACGTGCTCCACAAGGATGCTCTTTGTATTTTTTGCATTGCAGTCCAGAAGTATTCGCTTACTGCTCCACCTGTCATTTTCTTCCACCCTAAGAGGAGATCTATAGCTTCTGCTGCGTTGTTAATGCGCTTCACCAGAGATATCTTGAATTTGACTCGCCCTGGCTCCATAGATTGATACAGTTGTTGCAAGCGCAATAGACCTGCCAAAAGTTATTCAATAACTAAATGTTTTATAAAAAAAATATTCAATGACGAAATGTTTTATAACAACTTTTACTTTATCTACAAAGCGTACCACCCAGGATTTGTAGCCAATACCGGGTATTTGCTTTGTTACAATATTTGTTTTAAACTCATCAATGTTAGTTCTAGTCTTGTTTGCTGAAAAAAACTACATATACATCGGATTATTTTCTGGATACGACTTGGAGTTTTTATATTTTTTGTTTAAGCTAAACAGTGAGGTTAATGAGTTTACATACACACCCACACCCGGATAATACGAGTATTCTTTACTTGGCTCTAAGGCCTAAGATAGATTTGGTGATGGCCTGTGATAGCAGTGACCACAATACAGCCTTTCCTCGGCTATTATGATACTAGTTCGGTATCGCCGGCAACATTGACTTAGGTACACTACCTAATTTAATGGACATAAATTGTATATTTAAAAATAAGTATGTATTGACAAAGGATAGGTTCCGCCTACCTAATTATTATTTACAACAGATAGCTACTATGCTATCTTACTTTTTATTTGCAACTAAAGCTAAACATTTAGCTTTTCAGACAACTGCTTCTATTGAGCAGCTAGCTTTTCAGACAACTGCTTCTATTGAGCAGCTTAGCTTAAGTGAATGTAGTGATACTTGCAGTAGCACTTCATTAAGTATAAATAATTTAAATTAGATAGTGTGACAATAGAGGCAAACTCTAGCAATAATTTAGTACAACTCAGCTCAACACAAACATGTTATATTACTAACAACAACTGTTTAAACTTGATGCATCAAAACATGCAAGGTATGTTGGGCAAAGAATTAGAGTTGGAGTTGTTTTTAAAATCAAGTAAAATTGATGTCCTATGCATTACCGAACATTGGCTTAGAGAATGCCAAATCATCTTTAACTTTGATCAGCACCAAGTTGCAAGTTCGTTTTGCAGATTGTCGGCGATTCATGGGGGCTCTTTGATTATTGTTAATAAAAATTTAAAGTATAAAGAGCGTAATGACATCGTGTGTCTGTCTGTAGAACACTCTTTGGAAGTAGCCTGTATAGAGATTGAGAATTGCATTATTTTAAGTGTTTACAGACCACCAAGTGCATCTTACGATTTTTTTGAAGAAAAGTTGGAGGAAATTTTGTGTAAAGTTAGTTTTAAGAACAATAAGTATATTATTGTATGTGGTGACTTCAATATAAATTTATTAGAAAATACCTCCATTAGTAAAAAATTCAATCTGTTATTAAAATCTTACAATCTTGTTAACTTGTTTCTTGAGCCCACTAGAATTACAAGCTCCACTGCTACATGTATAGATAATGTATTTACAGATGCAGAGGCAATGCAAACCTCAATTACAACTGATCTTAGCTCAGATCATTGTGGACAGTTAGTGGCGCTAAAATGTAAAGTGGTGAAACAAGTAAATAAGAGCAGTGTGTTTGTTCCAGTGAATAAAAAGCGAATGGTGAGATTTAGACATAATATAGGTAAACGCCTACCTTTATTACCGGTAGGTACTACCGTTGATACACAATACAACAATCTAAGTGATTGTATTAATAAAGAGTTCAACACCATCTTTACCCCAAAGAAAGTCTCTCATTCGCAGTGTAAATCGTTTAGTGATTGGGCGACAGCGGGAATTTATAAAAGTAGACAACGGTTGTATGACCTTTACGCTGAAAAGTCATACAATCATAATGAAGAATTTATTCTTTATGTTCGAAATTATTCGAAATTATTTAAGAAAGTTTGTTACGCGGCCAAGTCTTTAAATATCAAAAACAAGATTAAAAATAGTACCAATAAAACTAAAATGACTTGGAAGATAATTGATAGTGAAACTGGAAGAGTCAGGGATCGCAATCAAGACATCGAACTATGTGTCGATAACACTATAATCAAATCTAACGAAGAGATAGCGATTGTTTTTGATAAGTACTTTTCTGACATTCCAATTTCGACTACTAAGTCTCTTCAATCATCTCCCGCCCTCGCCGAATCGCTGCTCAAAGATAATGTAAACGAGTGCAAGGTCAGTTTTTCATTCCGACCCATTGGTGCCGACGATATAGTGAGGATATTTAGAACCATAGATATTAAGAACACTACCGATCTTTGGGGTATTTCTGTAAAAATAATTAGTAGCATAATTGATGTAATTGCTCCCCATCTAGCTATAATTTTCAACAATTGTATTAAAAGTGGCGAGTTTCCCGATCTAATGAAACATAGTAAAGTTATTCCTTTATTTAAAGCAGGTAGTATGTCTGACCCCAGTAACTTTAGACCAATTTCCGTACTACCTACTTGTAGTAAAATATTTGAAAAAATTATATTAAATCAACTGGTAAGTCATTTTAACGTAAACAAATTATTACATAATAATCAGTTCGGTTTTACCAAGGGTCGCTCGACAGCCGATGCCGGTGTTGAGTTATATAGATATATAGTTAAGGCTTGGGAGGAGTCGCATGACGCTTTGGGTGTTTTCTGCGACTTATCCAAAGCATTTGATTGTGTCCAACACGAGACCTTAATCGGGAAACTCCGCCACTATGGCATCAAGAATACCGCACTGAATCTTCTGACTTCCTATTTACACGGAAGAACTCAGAAGGTTGAAGTGAATGGTAAGAGGTCCTCTGGGTCGGCAGTAGATATGGGGGTACCACAGGGCTCAATTCTTGGCCCTTTCCTCTTTCTTGTTTATATAAATGATCTACCTTTCATGGTAGAGAGAAAACATCAGATAGTTTTGTTTGCTGATGACACGTCCTTGATTTTTAAAATCAAACGACAAATAACAAATTTTGACGATGTGAACAATGCTCTGTCTTCGATTGTCCATTGCTTTAGTATGAATAACCTTCTACTTAATGCAAAAAAGACAAAATGCATTAAATTTTGTGCAAAAAATGCAAGGGTTATGGATACTAGACCAATTATAAACGGTGAGGAATTGAATCTGGATGATACAACTGTATTTCTCGGAATCACCATGGATTCAAAACTTCAGTGGTCCCCTCATATTAACGGATTGGCGAAGAGACTTAGTTCTGCAGCCTACGCGGTTAAAAAAATTCGCTCACTAACTGATGTCGATACAGCTAGACTTGTTTATTTTAGTTACTTTCATAGCTTAATGACTTATGGCTTATTATTATGGGGTCATGCTGCTGATGTCGAAACTATTTTCATCCTGCAGAAGAGGGCTATTAGTGCAATCTATAATTTAAAATGTAGGGAATCTCTTAGAGATAAATTCAAGGAAATTAATATACTTACCTTTCCCTCGCAATATATTTATGAAAATATTATGTATGTATACAAAAATAGTGATAAGTTTACTAGAATAGAACATACGCACAATGTTAATACACGGAACAAACGCAGGCTGCAATTTCCCCGTACTAGACAATCTAAAGTTAGTAATTCTTTTTTGGGGAAAGGGATACTCTTCTTTAATAAAATCCCAGAGGCTCTTTTATCACTGCCTTTCAATAAATTTAAGAAATGTATTAAAGAAAAGCTGTGTAAAAAGGCTTACTATAAAGTCAACGATTATCTAGTTGATAAAAGGGCCTGGGACTAGTGCTAGACAGGCTACTTCTAATCAATTTGCGATATTTGTTTTAAATAAGTGTTGTTTGATGATTTGTTGTTTTAAAAGAGTACCGAGAGTTTTTTACGCCGGCTTTTTCTCTCGGCCTACACCCTCTGTCTTCTTTGCCGATGAGTAGGGATGCCTTCAAATTTAATGACGTGGAATAAGTGATACATGTATCTTATGTTCCATAATAAACATATTTTATTTTATTTTATTTTTATTTTAACATACAATAAACTTTAATTCAACTAGGACTAGCATTTAAAGCTGGCCTGCTTGCCTTGAGTTTGCTCGACCTACTCCAAAGACTAATAATCATATTTAATTATACACTGGAGATCATCTTGATAGTTTACCAGCTTCAGTAAGTCAGTAAGTTTGGTATTTATTATCATCGGCAAATCAGTCCTTGAATTGTTTTATCGTTTAGATTTGACAAAAAATCAACGTTGTAATAAGAAATTATAACCAGTTTAAGCGATAATAACCAGAAGAGGACTTGTGAAAAGCTATCGTGATTTGCTGGGCCAATTTCAAAATACCCGCGTCCGTTGATTGATGTCGATTCAATTTTACGCCAAAGTGTTTGCTTTATCGGATGTATTCATCGTTCAGAAAAAGCTATTACATTGTGGTCATTGTTTGTTAGGGGAAATAAATTTTCATGACTATTCCTAATATTTGCGCTCTGTGCATATTAAATTTTGTACTCATTTTTGCTTTGGTAAATGATTTTTATATTGGAAAAACCTATGAAACAGTTTTTGCTATTTCCAATTAAAATCCCAATTTCGGTTGTTACTTGCAATATTTATTTAAATTCTAGGAAATGCATACACAAAGAGTCTGTATCCTTAAATTACCTAAAGTAGGTACGCTAATGATAATAGAACTTTATAGTAACACCAGATTTTTTAATTTGATTTTATACAATAGTGAAAGTATAAGTTAAGAGCTTATGGATTGATCATTATTTATTTATTTTTATAGTTTTATATTTCTGTACATCTGACATTCAGTATTGCATAGTATGCTTTTTTTAGAGTGCGTGCATTACATTTAAAAGTTTTAACTAAAACTCCGATTTGTAGATTTATTGTTCTACTAGCAGACCGGCCAAGCGATGCTGTGGCTAAGGTTTTTGTTATATTACAAAGTAGCAAACTATTCAAGGGAAACGGTAGGAGAACACCAGTCATGGGGACCACCATGCTTTTTTGGTGGTTATGCCGTTCAATTGTAGCTTATGTGAAACGTTGGTACTTTCAACACAGCGCCATCTGTTAGAATTGTAACTATCAAATAATAAACAAATATTTTGCAATAAAA